CAAAACCAACAACTATAACAAAATAAAACAGAGAAAAACCACAATTGAAAATAAAGCAAAACGTAGATGCATTATCCCAGGTATTTTACGATAGCATCTCATTGCAACAACCCTATGAAGTGGGTACTATTATTACTCCTGTATTAGAGCTAGGGAAGCAGAGGCAGAGCTGTGAAAGAACTTTCCAGGAAATGGCAGGGCTTGATTATAGCCCCGGTGGTTTCGCTCCCGCCTACCTGGTTACACCCACTCAGCTGTAAGACAGCAAATTTGTGCCTGTGTTTGTACGCGTGGACGGAGTCTCAGGTGCGATCAGTTCTAAGACGCAGCACTCACTTTGTTAGTAGTTCTAGAGTTAGGAGAGGGCAACGTCACACTAACCCCCGATGTCACCAGTTAAGAAGTGCCCAATTTCAGAAAAGTTAAAAGAGGCACAAAGGAGTGTGTCACTTAGAATGAAGGCAATCATTGTGTAAGGAGAGACAACTAGAAAAAAATCAAACATACATACTAAATGTTATAAATGGTCCCACTGGAAATGGAGGGGAAGCTTTTTCTTTCTGTGTTTCCAATATTATTTAGTTTGGTATAGTAAACCTGTGTTACTTTCATAACTTCTACCAACCACAACCAACTAGAAGACAAATAACCTTTAAGTCCATAACGAATGTCTGAAGATGAGCCAGTAGGGCCATTTCCCCCATATTTCTATGTTTTAAAAACATCTAGTAATATTTAATGGAAAAAATAAGCAAGACAAAGGGCTGGCAAAAATCAAACAATGAAGCAATATACTTAACTTATACAAAGATCTACTGAATATTCATTTAAAAAGACAAAAATCCCAATTGGGAAATAAGGAAATGAACTAAGATAGGAACTAAAGAGGCTGAAATTTCCTTCTTTCTTTCTTTTTTTGGGGGGAATTTCTTTACACACTTCTATATTTCCAAAATTCTCTGTACTTACAATCAGATAAAATCTGAGAGGGCTTCAAAATATTTGTGGAAAATTTAAATGACCAGATTAATGGACTTCTTCCGTGAACATTTTGAAGCCCCTTTATATGTTGTTTTAAACTGCAGAGAAAGCAACATACAGATCTGGAGTTTGAGACCCTGTTAGGAAAAAGTGCGATCTGAAAATTTAATTGAAAAACCAAAAGGCACTTAGAATGTTGTTCTATCGTGTCCTTCAGGGCTACTCTGAGTCAGAATGATCTCTACGGGGCACAACAACAGTTAAGTGTAAGGGGCCCTAATGAAACAGAACCTGGCTGCTAACTGAAATGTCAGCAGTTCAAACCCACTATCGACTCCTTGGGAGGAAGAAGGGGCTATCTGCTTCAGAAACCCCACAGGGCAGTTCTACTCTGACTTTTAGGGTTGCTATGAGTCAGATTGGACTCAATGGAAATGGAATTTTGTTTCGATTTGTTTTTTAAGTATCAAACCAAACACAAGTTTGCTCAAAACCATACATCAGACTGTCAACAGAATATTCTTTAAATTACACATAATAATTAACATTTATTTAAAACTAGTGAGCAACTAAAGAGTCCACATGAGGGAAAAAAAAGTCCACATGAAATAATGTATTGGTGATCAAGTTCCTGACAATTTGGGGAGGAAGCTTTATAAAAATACTGTCTTCAAAATTAAATAGTTCTTTCAGCTCCTTCAGCACCTCCAGAAATTACTATGCTTATCTTGCGGCCAATTATAAAAAGCGTCAGGAACTGATTAAACCTTCATGACAGTAAAAATCAGATGAGAGGCCAGAGTTCAGCAGAGCTCATTTATTACTGGCACTGGTGTCCCTTGAGAGGAGAGAGAGAGAGAAAGAGAGAGAGAGAGTGTGTGTGTGGTTTTGTTTTGTTTTTTTCTCTCCAGGCTCTGGAAACCTTAAGTAAACAAATCCAACAGTAGTGAAAACTGACACACCCTGAAACTCCCATAGAAACATTTACTTCATAGCTCACAATAGACTGTCCTATTCCTTCTGCAGGTGGCCTTGCCTGGAGCTAAAGGTCGAAAGACAACACCCCCTGATACCTTCACACCTTAAAGAATACTGGGCAACCATAAGGGGAGCAGGGAAGGGCTTCCGATAAAAGAGCCCAACACTGGAACCTCTCCTCAAGTTGCCACACAGGACACATCCTTTCTTGGACAGTTTAACTAACTATGAATGATTTTACTGACATTTATAGCGCTTCAAAACTCAGACTTCTAAGATGCTACAGCTAAAGGATCCTTCAAGACTCTGTGTTTTTACCCCCTGACCTGATCCGACCCATAGCACCCCATCTAAGAAATGGCCTGGGGGCTAAGTTGCCCTCCTCTGGCCTTGAGTCCACACCTCCCTATCTGCCCGAGGATGAGCTTGGAGGCAGAGGTCGGACAAGCCTCCACCCTCCCACGGGTTTCCCCTGCCCTATTCTGAAGCCAACCGTCTCTTTCCTGACTGGCCACTTCTCTGCTGGACTCCATAACCCCTTGCAATGGCCACACAGAATGCACAGACAATACTCACAATTAAGGGCGTTGATTAGGGAAGTTAACAGGTTACAAAATGCTAAGGGCACAGTTATTTTGTCCACAATGCCTCCTCAGGCATGTTGGCTGACACAGCTGTCTCTGGTTCTCGGCCTCAACCAAATGGTCCTCTGGCCTTTGCCCTGCTCACGCAAGTGTTACAAAGCTCATTTAAACTCAAAACTCAGTGCTATCGAGTCAGTTGTGACTCACAGTGACTCTATAGGACAGGGTAGAACTGTGCCTGTGAGTTTCTGAAACTGTAACTCTTTACAAGAGTAGAAAGCCTTATCTTTGTCTCGAAGAACGGCTGTTGGTTTTGAACTGCGAACCTTGTGGTTAGCAGTATAACCACCATGACACCAGGGCTCCTAAACCTCTTTTAGCACTCTGCAAGCCCGCCTCCCACTCAAAGGCACTCAGCAATATTCATTCTAAGGGCGGGGACGCCTGCTACCCTGCTACCCTGGTCTAAGTGAGACTCCTCTGCTCTATCTCAGTCTGAGTGCAGCAGCCTTTCCGCCTCTACTAATACAGGCGGAGTCTCACGTGCACTCACTGGTGGCTCTTCTGTGTCAATGGTCATGAGATCCCTGTTCTGCTTCCGAGATGGCTCGCTCTTATACACAGCAGAATGGCCACACTGCTCAATACCCGAGTTACCATCCTCTATACCTTAAGTGGAATGGCTGGGTGGGAATTCCAAAGACCTCCTACAAGAGCCACACCAAGAATTTCACTTTCCTGCCCCATCCTTAGCCCTTCCCACCCTACCTACCTACCCTGGAACACAAACCTACCTACCCTGGAACCTGTATCCAGCCTTCGTGGCCAGAAATCAATCTGGGCAAAGAATCTTGTAAAGGCCGGTTCTGAGGATGCCCATACAACATCCTGAGAGTTTCTAAGAAAAAAGTCTGGTTTCAAATATCTCTGAAGGCAGTTTAGGGATAAGTAACGGCCTGACTGGGGAGATACCTTGAGGGAGATACTTTAGGGGACCCTCAAGGCATTTGGAAAATCAATAGACAGAAGGCCAACTACAGGCATCATTAATAGTATAAACAAAAGAAGAAATTGGTCTACTCTTCTCTGCTTCACTAAGGTACTTTGTAGGTAAATGTTATCAAGTAATTAGTCACCGGGGCTGAGTTCTCCATGTAACAAGTTTAAAAGATTTGCCACCTACACCCAATCCCAAAGCACTCGAACAAATCCTGACGTGAGATGGCTCCCTGGGCGATGTTTGCCACTGCAGGTAAATGTGCAACCCTACAACAGCTCCCGAGGGTTTCCTAGGCTGTGGATCTTTACAGGAGCAGGCAGCTTCATCGCTCTCCTACGAGGCACAGAGGTGGGTGGGTTTCAGCTGCCAACTTTGCATTCCACAACCCAGTCTGCAGCCCACTCCTCCACCAGCGTTGCTACACCCAAAGCAACCAACCTCACCGCCATGGAGTCGATGCCAACTCACAGCCACCCCAAAGGGCAGGGCAGAACTGCCCCTTGGAGTTCCCGAGACTGTAACCGTTTAAGGGAGTAGAAAGCCCTGCTATTCTCCCATGGATTGTCCAGTGGTTTCGAACTGCTGACCTCAGCAAAAGTCCAATGCGTAACCATTACACCATCAGGGTATCCACATGACACAGTAATTCTACTCCTGGACACAGATCCACAAGAAGTAAAAACACGCAACCACACAAACATATGTACGTGAATACTCACAGAAGCATTATTCAAACTACCCAAACCAATAAGCAGAAACAATCAAGGAGGCAGGGCGGCGGAAGGAGCAGCAATTTGTTTTGCATGGGCCAGGTTCTTTCTGCAGCATGCAGCAAAAAGCCACTTCTTCCTGGAGGGTAGGGGTAAGGGAGGGCGAGGAGGGGAGGAAGGGGGAACCGATAGTAATGATTGACACAAAACACACGCGTGTCCCCACCACCACCAGGGGGACAAACAACAGAAACCATAGAGGAAGGAACAGCAGTTGATGTAAGATATGAAAATAATAATAATTTATAATTTACCAAGGAGTCACGGGGACAAGGGGGAGGGAGGGACAAAAGAGGAGCTTATACCAAAGGCTCAAATAGACAGTAAATGTCTACAAAATGGTGATGGCAATACATGTTCAAATATGCTTGATGCAATGGATGTATGGATTGTTATAAGAGCTATAGGAGTCCCCAATAAAGTGATCTTTTAAAAAATAAGGCCACTTCTTCCCAGTGCCTTGGTCCACAGGATGAAAATGGGAATCTGAAGTTGACACTGTAGTGAGACAATTTCCACATCGTCCACCCTCTTGAAATTCCATGTGAAACTGCAGGCAACTTCTTTTGTGACATACACAAACACTCTTGGGCGCAAAGGTTAAGAACGCACGAAAAATAGGAAGAAACCCAGGAATTTTTGGTTAAAAAAAAAAAAAGAAAGCTCAGGGATTTTTTTCGCACTTACCCACTCCTCAACATTGGGGGGCTGCTCCTCAAAGACACGCTCCTTGTCCCACAGAATATTCGACTTGTCATAGCGGTCTATCTTTCCCCGAGTTCTCACAGCAAAGAAAATGATCAATGCGAAAGCCACAATCACCACGAACCCCAGCACAATGGCAATGGCCTAAAAGGGAATGAAAGGTATTGACAACATATGATTTACTTTATCCCAATCTATCCTGTATAAATTATTAGACTCTATCACCTGAGGCCTGGCTCTAGATACCCATGGTTTAATTCACATAAAACTAAATCAAATGGTAACATTTTAGAACTATCATAAAATCTAATCCACACCAACTGGGCTAAGGCTAGCCCTACACAAACACTCATCAATTCAATCCTTAGCAGATGCTTCAAGTTAAGCAACACCAAACTTTTTCAAATATAACACACCCTCAAAAACAGCAAGGGCATAGAGCAGCGAGGTCCCCAGGGAATGCTGAAGGTGGACTTTGGGGCCAGGGCGTGGTGCCCCAACAGACTGGACTGGAAAACACTCCTAAAGGGCAACAAATGATCCTTTAACTACAAGCTTTTCTTTCTTGTTGTGTTTTG